TATTTAATATTTGCGCCGGGTATTTAATGTTCGGCTCCGTCCGAACTTAAACTTTCTTACTTGTTTTAAGAAGTTTTACTTCTATCACGTGTACGGTGTTGCACTCGTGCTATTAAACTAATGCTTTTTTCTCAAGTAGTTTTGCTCAGTGGCAATTTATACATATGTACACGGTCAAAAATTTGGGTTTAATTTTTAAACCGCGCTGGGACTACTGCCTTTTTCAAACTTTTATAGTCTACTTTTTAAACCATTCAATAGTTTTACGCAATTTTTAATATATTCTGGTTTAAATTTTAGCCCAAAAAGTTCGTGGTTTAAAAATCAAACCAAAATGTTTTAATTCTAGTTTCTAGGTTTCATATATAGAAAATTTGGTTTAAAATCTAAACCGAAATAGAATATGTTTGCACAGCGAATTGTGGTGTTGATTCAAACTCAACATATGAAAGCACATTTACATGCGTGGCTGTAGCTGAGTGTGCAAAGCTGCTTGATACAATTGGTTACTACCAAGGCTGTCCGGGTTCAATCCCAACCAGACGGAGCATGAAATTTAAGATTTTTTTTTTTATTCTTAATTATGAAAATGTTTGGGTTTAACATTTAAACCGAATTGTTTAAATTCTAAACCCAACATATGTGCTCTCTTTTTTTAAACTTGGAAGGTTTGTATTTGAAACTGAATTTAGTTTGGTCATATATGTAGTCCAAAAAGTTTAAAATTAAAACCGAAATTTTTAACCGTGTATGTAAGTAGTAGCGGCACATTGGGTGAACTAAATGCATTCATACATACATATTTATGTACAACTATAAGTAAATACCAGGTAGGTTAAGTGCGGGTGATAAACCCATGTAGTATAGTTAAATACTGTGTACATACCTGCAATTAAAATGGGGAAAAATGTTACAATTTCGGCATATGACTGAAAAAAAAACTCTAAAATACACACAAATTGTGGTTTCCAAGACATGTACGAAGTGATTAGCACAGCTGCATCCTTCAACTTGTCAACCCGCGGGAAATTCCCCCATTTGCAGGGAATTTTGGTTTAAGTGGCAATCGGGGAATGGGCGATTTTTTTCGGGGAACTGGGTATGTTATTTTTATATCTTACAGTAACCAAATTTGACGGATATGTTAATTTTTAACTATTTGACCCTTTTCGGAGCGATATTTTTTCAATTTTAATAGCAATACCTCCACAACAGGAGTTTTCCCAGATATAAACTATATACCAGATGAAAGCTAAGGTTTTGTGCTAGACTTGAGGGAACTTAGAATAAAATCGACTGACCAGTTTTTGAGAAAATGCCCGAAATCTCTATTTTCAGCAGCCCGATTTTTAGTTTTCAGGCGATAACGTTATGGCGTATTTATATTTTATAAACACAAAGACCCTTCTACTGATATCCACATCAATGACATGGACTGACACTACTCAGTGGTAGTTTAAAAAATTGCCTTTTTTCGAATTTCAGGCAGCAGCCACGCCCACAAAGGCATACGAATCAAGATATCCTGGAACAAAACCTTCTTAGTTTTTTTTTGTACTTTAATTTCTGAAAGTTTGAACTAAACTAAATGAAGGTACGTACAGACGCCACATACATACCAAAGCATCTCGTAGTAGAGACACGAACCAAAACACATTTACCTCTATATCTTTCCAACTAGTAGCCGGCACTTAATATATAAGGTATCGTTTGAAAGGTATTGGCCTATAGAATAACAATAAATATGTTGGGTGTGTCCACATGCCCCCTTAAACCGGCAAAAGCAAAAAAACGTTTTTTGTTTCGCAACACTTTAGCCTAATTTTTTAGAATCCGGTTAATCGTTTATGAAGCTTGAATACATTTTCTGGACACACTCTGCAAGACCTTTCCAACGATATCTCAAACATGTCGATTGGACGTCTGGCTAAAAACTTCCAAATCTCGTGTATATATAAGCGAGTCATTTCAGCATGCTACGGCTGCTTTCGTCACTCTCGCGCACTACCGTGCGCTGTGATATATATGACCCACGAACCAAGACCAAACTAAAATTTTAATTTGGGTAAAAATTTTTAAAGGCTACATCGGGTGAGCAACAATTTATCGATTCGAGAAATTAATGCGCTGATGAGAAAACGAAAACTCGTATATCGAGACGATAAAGTGGCCGGTAATCTAAAGGTTAGATGAGAAAACGGCCCTAAGCCAGAAAGCCAATTTTCATTCTCCAATTGCGGGTAATGTTCCGATCTCAATTTGCGTATGTGTATATAAAAAGAATAAAATAAAAAACAACACAATGGAAAAGAATGTCCAGCAAAGAAATATGTATTTTAAAAAGTAATACGAGCCAAAATGTTCTAAGCAAAGAGCCGCGTTTGCCCACCGTTGGTATATACGTTTCCAAAATATATCGTATGTGATACAGCAAAAAATCTAAATCTGGCGCTTAAATGATCTATCACCAGCATCCGTTCGCTTCTGTTAATCTATAGTAATTTTGTTTAGAAAAATGTAACATTTATAGACGCATTCTTGTTCAGGTTAGAGACCATATAAGTGCCAAAAGTACTAATTGACATATACCGTTTTGCAGTGTCACTGGCGATATGGAGTGATAGGTGTGCTTCATCGGCTTACGTACAGTTGTCCACGATATAATAGGAGTGCGATGTGTTTTGACCAGTTTTGAATATTTTTGTTTTGTTCATTTACTGTTTAGTATTTTTTTTATAAAGGTCTAGCTGGTCAAACAACAAACACCAACTTTGTACAAAAATTATAAAAATTCTGCAGTTTCACCAAAATTTCAAACTTTTTAATCAGTATCTTTAGAAAAAATTTTAGTATTAGGAGGGCAAGTTTTCAGCTGCTAAAAAATCACTTTGATTTTTTGCAATTTTTTTTCTGGCAGTGCCTTCCACATAAAATAAATTTGTGGAACATACTTTGTAGGGGAAATATGCCAGGAAATATATTGTACCAACCATAGTTCTCACATATCGCCCAGATGAAATTACAGAGATCCGAAAGAGCTGTTTTCCGTTATCACTGCGAAGTTGCTTAAAAATCTAGTCCCAAATTTTTAATTTGCTTTGACTGGAGACCGGGACAGCGACATAAAGTAGTGCGAATCGGTTATTTTTCTTTTTCACCCAGAATTTCTTCGAATGACCCCCAGTAAGTGGCTTTATACATACATACATCTCCAATAGAAATCTACCTGGTCATAGTCGACTGCGTTTTCACATGCACCAAACCAATCTGATCGCACAATCAGAGTGCTGGTTAATGTCAGGATTAGGACTGTTCTTAGGGATGCAAAAGATATTTTAGGTCGCGGTATCCAACCACTGAAACCGACTGGTTAGAGGCGCGTACTTCTATTTACCTCTATCTCTTATGTTTATACTACATACATATGTTCATATGGATTTGTGTGGTTTTTTACAAATGTGTTACTGTTTAATTTGCGGCTTTGAATGCCTGATGTATGTAGATACTATTTATACATTGAATTTAATAATACAACCACTGTATTTTATTCTTCAATTTCGAAAGGCGGGTTAAGGTATGAGGTACTATGATTAAATACATACAAAGACCCTCTGAATAAATAACTATTCTACAAGGTTAGGTATTAAAAAGTTCATTTAATTTCAAGCGAACCAAGAGTATCCACAAAATCCAAAATATTGTTCAACTTACTTTGTGCAATAGGCTGAACGCATATTCTAGTCCAGCCGTAAAATTAGCTGTATTCTGAAGCTTTATAGCCTTTACCGCTGATTTTATTTCTTGAACATTGTCTGGGGTGGCGCGCACCATACGATCCTTGAAACATGGCACTGGCGTTTTGATTTCCTCCGCAAATGTGATCAAATTTACAAAATCATCCTCGCCTAGTGTATCAAGTATATTGAAAGCAGTAGCCGTTGCAAGATCGAACGACTTATCCGACATGCTCGACGAAGAGTCAAGTAAAATCATCTGGAATGGGAAAAGATTGTTTAGCTCATGTGTGGTTTGCAAACAAGTCTTTTAATTTACAATATCCTTGGGGGAAGATGCTGCCTGCACGAACCAATTTTGCGTGCGAAAATCATGGATCTGCTTGCTGCCTTTCGAGCCTTCTGGCGGCCAAGCGGTGCCGGGGAAACGACGTAGAAAGCCAGTCGATGAACCAAAATACTGCCACGACAGAGCTGGATCACGTTCGAGATTATTTTGAAAGAGTGGGTCCAGGTGCGCGCTCCACTGCAGTGCCGCCTTGACATCTCCGTCGTCGAGTGAGACGCCATTCGGCACCAAAATCGAACTAAGACTGAGATTGACAGGCAAACGTTCAAATCGGCGCATAAAGCGTATGTCCATGTGGCGTGCGCCGTCTGCCAATTTTCCATCCGAATTATATTCGTTAATGCGTCGCGCGTCGTAGTGCTGATTATTTGTCGTCGCTGAAGTGCTATGGGAATTTTGTGAGTCCAATTCGGAAAGTGCAGCTTGCTCGGCGGAGTCCATGATGCGCTGAATAACAAAACAAAACAAATGAGAAGGATGAATAAGCTGAGGCGAGCTAGTTTTTCAATAATTCAGTATAAATACATATACATATGCAATGAATATGGTAAATGTATTAAACCCTTAAGGAAAATAAATGGTGCCTGACTGTAGATATTTCCCACATGTACGTGCATGTGTTTATAAAAGCGCATGCTACATAATCAACCTTATCGTGAGTTTAGTTTTCGCCCGAAATCTTACACTTTTCTCTTTTGGCTTATGTATATTCACTACGGGCGAATGAAAAATTTCGGGCGAAACTCCAGATAATCCTGAGTGTAATGCTTTACAAATACTTTAATACTTAATTAATTTATAGAAACCCCTGCGTCCTTAGACTTCCATTTTCGCTGCTAATCTGTGGTTTGAAAATAAAAAGAAAAATCGCTACGAAGTTGTACTTCAAAAAAAGCTTGTTTTTGAAAATTTTTTTATAAGCTTTTATTTAACTTGGTCATCCCGCGGAAATCGCGGAAATTTCCAATCGATTTTAAACTAACTTCCCGACAAGTTAGCGACTTGAAATTTTCAGTATAGTGCCAATCACGATGACAATGCAATTTAAAATATAAATGAATTCTCTATATGGTCCAGGGGTCTTGATTTAAAGGCGGTCAAAAAATAGCAAGATTTATGGCTAACAGAGCGTAATTTGCCAAAGAACGTAAAACCACCATAAAATAGCAAAGCTAATTGTGGCAAATTCTAGATATCAACCTAGTCTAGATATGAACCTCGTTGTAGTCATCATATCAAAAAGATACAATTAGAAGACTCCAGATGTCGCCCCGCCAGAAGAAGTTAAATATTGTGCCTAAATATGTGCCATGCTACAGCGGAAATGGACGTCAAGCCATTTCTTTGAATAAAATTAATTGCTGCTATATGTACATATGTATGTTTATACAAAACGTAAGCAAACAACATTTTGCTTGTCAAGTCTTCTGTTCTCTTTCATTGCAAGTTGAATAATTTTAATATCTATTGCAACATTTTGTACATAAAACAAAATAACACTTTTTAATATACAACGCTTTTATAAATGGACTAAGAATTAGAAAATAAAATAATTGAAAAGAAATATTTTTTAAAAACAAGCTTTTATTAACATGTACAATCAAAGGAATAAAATAAAGTAGTGTAACAAAAGACTTTTTAGCAAGAAAATTTTGTCAAAACTGCACTAAAATGAATAAAATAAAATAAGTTAAGGTCTCGTTAAAGTTAATAAAAGCCATTTATTGAAAGGAGTTATTCAAACTCTAATGAAAATTACTAACAATTTGTACTAATTTTACTTTGGTTTTAAAAAAGCTTGTCGGCGAATTCAGCATACTTACATAATTGGATAGGTATGTATATGTATGTACCCTGTAGTCAAATGTACTAGTTGTAAACTATCTCACAAGTAGTATGAACCGCATGCCCAACTAGTCAGCTAACTATCTTTTTTCCATGCAATCAACTGGTATTTTTAACATGGGGATGTCCTACGAGATGACAATTAACAGATTTCGGTCAGAAATATGCCAGTCTCATACTAGTTCAAAATAGACAGAAAGTCTAATTATGGACCAAAACTACTACTTTGGGAGTAAAAAAATAAAATGAATTCATGAATTCATGAATATACAATAAAAACTTTTGATTAAGTACACTTTAATACATTACACATTTTTATTTAGCACCCTTAGATTTGCCAATAATTAGTGTTAAATTTTTTGAGTATTAATTAAAAGGAAAAATAAATACATAAATATTTCAAACTTTCGAACATAAATTTAAATGCTTTTTCATTAAATGATATTAAAAGTAAAAGCTTTCAGGTACAAAAAATACTATATTTTTATATTTTTTAATAATATTGAATATGGATAAGAAAACACTTTAGTTAAAAATAAAACGATTACTTTAGTTAATTTTTGAGTGAACTAAAATAAAAATAAAAGTTTTCATTAAAATAAATTAAATTCATTATTCATTCAGTCGTTTCTTTTTAAAATTTTTTTAAAAGTAATAAATAAAGTTTAAAATTTTAGATTTGGATATAAAAAAATAAATAAATGATTCAAGCAGTTATTAAATATTCTTCATTTTTGTCTATACTTTGGCTTGTTGATTGATAATTGAAATTAATCAAATAATTATATTAATCGTGTAAGTAAAAAAGTCAAACATAATTGAAAATGATCAAAAATAACAAAATAATGATGTAATTAAAATTAACGAATTAATAAACATTTTTTGTTTAAGTAATTAATTATTAATCATTAAAAAGGTGCTAATATCGGTATTTAATCATTAAACGGTTATCCAAAAAAAAACATGCTTTAGTTATTTAATTAATCATTATGATATTATTTAATAGGTACGGTATAATTGCGAGTACGTACTCGCTTTAACGGCTGACAATATACCCAAATAAAAATTATAAGATTTTGTGTACTCTATTGTATTGGTTTCGCACTTTAATCGATTTATCATATAAGTGGGCGGTACCACCCCCATATTCCTAAAATTTTTTTAAAACCCTCTTTTTTTGCTAAAAACCGATTGTATATATCGACCCCTTTGCGCGAAAGTATCGTATGTTACATTTTTTTACGAAATTCAATTTTTGATGGAAGTTTTTTCTACACCCCATAACGCATGACCTGTTCAAATATCACTGCTTACATCCCAAAAGCTACCCCAAAAATGGACCGTAAATTTTATCGTATGTGACAATGAATTTTGTCTTGTGGGCGAAATTATCGTATGTGCTAAGAAATTATACTGTGAAAACCTTTCCACAAAAAAATCTTTCATTTAGTTATATTTCTGAATTATCTCAGCAAACCTAAACTTTAGTACTACTATGCCAAAGCAGAGAAAAATAAAATAAACACTTTCCTGTAAAATTTGGTTTTTGTAACATAAGATAATTTTGCGCAAAGGGGTCAATATCAATTTTGAATACATATTGATTAACTCTTTAGACACATTGCTCAAAAAATCTGAAATTCCGGTACATAAACACATATAAATTCAAGGCCGTATTTAAGAAAATTCGACTAAATTCGTCAATTTTTATGCGATTGCAATAAATGAGGTATCAGTTTATTTGAAAATAGAATTAATTTAATATTTTGAAATTGTAGAAATTGTCGATGGTCAAAATTAAAAAAATTAAGAGAAATATGGGTCTTCTTTTAATTTACTCGATAAAAAATCCCAAAAAGCCTAGTACGACAATAGATTATTATATATCATTTTAAGGGCCTATATATCTTCCTCTCAGATCATATTCGATCTATGAAATCGAATCAAAAATAGTCATTCGAAAAGTCATAAATCTACAAAATCATATTTTCTGACCTAAATCGACAGGTCGCGACCTCTAAATGACCTTTAAAAAAAGACGTGAGTACTAGGTATTCATGAAATTTGATGTGTAAACATATGTGAACGACAAAGTATAAAAGTACGTTTACATATTTATATAACCAAAGCTCGTTAGCTGTCAAATTGGTTGTGCATGTTATTTTCACAACTCGAGGAAAAGTTAAGCTTCATCTCTGTAATATCTATGATATTTAAATATATTTTAGCTTAATATTTTATTAAAAACACCTCTTTTCCTTGCTAACGTCAACTTCTGTTTACTTTTACATTTGACATTCCTATTCTTCTTCGCAAGTATAATCGATAAAACTGGGTTGGACGCCAAAAAGTTGTCGGTTTAATCTGAGATAATTTTATAACTATAATTTTGTATGGCTTATCTCTTTTTCTAATTACAGATTAGGGAGTTAAGCTCGAATATGAGGATAATAAATTTATTTGTAAACCTATTAGGCGAGTCAGTTTCATAGATACATACACATAATTTGAGTCATTTTCCTGATTCCTAAATTTAGTTTTTCTAGTTTAGGAATATGATCTGTGGTTCTGCTCCATCTGTCGCTAGGTTTACGTTAAAGTCATAAATACATATAGCATACCATCTTTTGTTTGCAAGATGGGAAGCCAAATTCATTTGTTCGGCATTTCCTTTTACTCTCGCCTTCTCTTTGTGAAATCTTATATTAACTTGGATCCAGTACTCAATGAACTCAAAGGGTTTTACACGAACTTGCAGGAAGTTACAGGAAAAACAATCCCGTACTCCAAAGTCATGTAAATGAGAGCGATTTTTTGAGAGTTGTGAAGAGAATGAAGTTGCCAGATTTAGCCCGATTCTTTTTTGTTCCCGTACTTTTTGCTGTTACTCACTTTTTACTCTCACTTCAGAAAGTGATTTTGCTGTTTAACATTTTTACAGGATTTTACACGAAAAGTATATATTGGATCAGGGCTATTATATTATCCATACGTATGTATACTGTACATATATTCACGTTTGCTCATCAGCTATCAACGGTCCCAGACAAAATGATTTCAGTGTTTTTTTTTTTATTTTCGCCTTGCTTTTTTATCAATAGACTATTAAACCTATGACTAAAACCATCTACGAATATCAAAACCAGTTGCAAGAAATGAGTTGATTCATATTTATGAATACATATAGGTACAAAGCCATATGCATGGCCGGACTTTGCATAATCGGAAGTAAAATCACTTGTACCGCTTCTAATGAAATAAAAAATTTGCTGCTTCAATACACATGCTAAGCTTTTCTGCTGGGCTATGCGTTACAGCTTCGCAAATTTTACCTCTACCGAAACCAAAGATGTATACACATAAAAAATCTATAAAAATAGGCAATAATATTTATCATAAAAACGAATTGGGGGGTAGGGTCTTGAAATTTCCAAAAAAAGCTTTTTCGATGGACACAATGGATAATACAAAGTATATTAATTAAATATATATATTTTACAACATAGAAATTCCTAACATACATATGAAATATATATATATGTGTATACATTGTAGGTATGTGTATGCATGTGTATGTGGATGTTGTTAGGTTACACCTCCTA